TTCACTGAAAGGACCACTTAGACCAGCTCCAGCAGCTTCTCAGTTGAAGCAATTCAGTAAATTGTACACCAAACAGTCCCAGGTGCACAAAAACCAGCCATCAAGCCTCACTGCATAAGACAATCTGAAGACAAGTAGAAGTCAGAGCAAGTTCAGAGAGACATGATTAGCATAACAAATTGTAACGGAAGAGATTACATGAGAAATGACTGATAAAAATTGATCTAAGCAGTAAAAAAAGCAACTGAATAAGAGTTGATTTAATCATATGAAACAAACAGCTGAGCTCTTTCTGAAAAAAACAAGAGTGGCTATTTTCTGCAGTAGAGGGGAGGTAAAACTGGCATGAAATTAATCAGATAACTGCTTGGAAAAAGATCTTAACAAGAATAATTTGAATGCAAAAGTATTTTTCTCAAGCTAAGACTGTGTTCCACACATGAAAAAGACTGGACATTTCTCCATATCATAATTTGTTCCTGTAGATAAATTCACTCTGAAATAAATCCCTCCTGTCCATAATTACAGGCAGTTCTCTTTGCTACTCCAAAAACAAAATTTAAAATACGTTTATCCCTTGAGCCCTACACAATATGAGGTACTGAAGTCAGAATTTGCTCATACAAACACAGCTCCAAAACCAAGCTGTTTCATGACAGGCCAGATGTCAAGTCACAGCCAAAAAACGGTTTTATATAACAACCTATTTCATCAGAGGTGCTTGTCACAAAATGCTCCAATTCAACTATTTGCTTTGGGAATCCAATCCCTAGGGACCAAATTTATCCAGCAAAATTCACATACCCCTAGCAAAGGGCTAAGGCTCTAGCAAGAATGAAAGAAGGTGACACCACACAGAGTCGATGTTACTATCTTCAGAACGTATTTTTCTGGAATTATCTATCACAAAGCAAAATTATTTGGACTGTCAGAACAGATGTGAATCTGTAAGTCATTGACTATATATATATTATTCTAAAAGTCATGAATTTCACTTGTTGCCCTTTTGTTGTGAATTCCCTCCCACTCTCAACTCCTCAAAGGAAATCAATGTTCCACCATAAAGGAAAAAGAAGGGAATACCCCTCGTACTTCATTAAGGAAAGATTCCCCCACAATGGGGGAAAACTTGAAAAAGCTGAAGATGAGATGGAGCTTCAGGAAAGAAATCAGAAGGAAAAAAAAGAAATCAGCAGG